AAGATTTTGTGCTAAAACGAATGACAAGCAGCATAATTACAGGGCGAGATTGAAAGGCTTCGCAGGTCTCAGTTGAAAGACTCAAACTAATTACCTGAAGATTCTAATGCTACATTTACTGTGAACATACTGTAGCTCGACCATAAAATGACATGCCACATATGGCTCAATTATTCTCGGATGAGATGAAATACATGGTCTGAGTGAAAATGTGAAAATGAGCAGAGAATATATATAACTGTGATGTGCCACAGTTTAACACCATATACTCTATATGTAGGATGAAGTGTTTTGAACAGTGATATATCAACCATACCCTTGGGGTGACTCTCACAACTAGTGGCGTCGCCGTCCAAAATAAGTACTGCTGTTCAGTGCTGAAACATCCTCCTGACAACTTAGCACCTGAAGTACGTAAATAAGAAGAAGAAGTTAAATTACTTGGCATAGAATGTCTGTTACGGAAAACTTAGAAAGTAATACGTGATCTGTCAGGCCTGAGTTCAGAAATGTCATGCCTCTAATATGATGCACATGCAGTATGTATACGGATTGTGATAATGAATTAGAGCTGTTTCGATGTATATTATTGTCGAGTAGTGTTCAGTCAAGATGAGCAAGATAGGCGGTGCCTGGTAAACGCTCAAATTCGAAATCAATTAGAACAATACTGAAGTGGAAACTATATCTCTCCTGAGATCTCAGGATATAAAGGACCGGATATTGACTGTTTGTTCTCATCTTGTAGATCAATACAAAACGTCTCAGTTAATTTTCGATTTCTATGCCTCGTCAATGGTCGCAGAACAGAGAATTGTAGTAACGAAGCAACAAAAAAAGATTATCCAGACTATGATGTCCGGCAGTTGTTTGTTCTTCATCAACTTTTAAATCATAGAGCTTTCCACATCAGCGGCAGCCATCTTGTTAATGAAAATGCTTCAGTGACACTTCTGCTGTTACCATTGTAATGAAAATCTATGTTTTATTCTGGTCCATATTTTAGCTGAACGGTAGATTAAGGTCATGTCTTTTTATTGAAGGGAAGTCGGCTATTTGACTCTGCTTGCCTGTAAAAAGTCAGTCAAAGTCACATAGTGCCTGCAGTCTACATGAATTGAGTGGGTGATTTTGTGTGTGGTTTAAAATGGCCGCGTTAATGATCTGAGTCAGTCATCTGTACCATCTGCTGGTCCTAGGACATAACCCATCTGGTCAACCATAGACAAATGAATCATCTAGTTGGCTTCTGGACCCTTCACAACTGTATCTGACATCATTCCAGCCTGCACATCTCAGCAGGATTGTTTGTGTATTTGTCTCTTAATTTGTTATACTTGTTCCTGGGGGCAACAGCTTTTGTCAGTTAAATTAATTTATGGATCAATGTGGTGGATAACATTTTTTAAAAACACCATCAGTAAAGAACAAACTCTTCATGTAGTGCAAGAAACTAAAATTGTAGTAAGAGGTTTGTTGGATAAAGATGTGACTGTTCTGCATTGATATGTGCAGAGGAATAACAGTTTGGGTATCTGCTTGAATGTGATTGATTTACTTCTGTTGGTGCCGTGAGATTTCAAAACAGCTTTCTCTGAATTCAACACCTAAATGCAGGCTGTAAAAAGCAGGACAAAAAATAGTCAGAGTTTAGTTTTATTAATCTGTCCCTGTTAAAGTAATGTGATGAATAGCCCAAATCACTGAGATCCACAACAGACAAACAATATTGTTGACTATATAGCATTACTATTTTACCTCCATTCCAACAGCATCATCGCATGGCGCAGTGTCCGTACCTGTAGGGGGCATCAGACGTCAGGGTAAGGGAAATAATCTCATTAGAGTCTAAAGCGTCAATGCCATTTTCTCTTCTTCTTAAGAAACCTTCTTTAAAGTCCTCCTCCCATACCAGTCACACCTTTTCACCTCAGAATCCTTCTTAAGGGCTGAGATGCTTTGTCAGTAACTTTACCAGTATCTAGTCTTCTGCACTGTGAGGGAGGAATTATAAGAAAATATATTAATTTAAAGAATTTTCATAGAATTTCATCACTTGGCTCTTTGCACGAGGATGATTTCATTATGCCTCCAGATGTTTGGAATGTTCTTGAAACAATAAAACATATAGTGGATTTTGAAAGAATAACATCAGGGCAATCAGAGGTTCATGATTTGGCTTCCAGAACAGGGTTCTCACCAACACTCAGTTCTCACTTCTTTCAGCCCCCGATTTTTTTTTCTTTGCCTCTCACACCATGGATCCCTTTTCAACCCTTCCTCTATAACCCTTCCACCTCCATCCTTGCCTCTCGGTTACTCCCCCTCCTTCTGAAGCGTGACTCACCTCCCAGCTTTTTTTCTATACCATTGTGTCCGTCTTGCTTCTGTGTCTTCAACCTTGTTTTCACTCTCTTGCCTGGAGCCCTTAAGGTCTTACTCAGTACATGAAAATAGAGATCACACCACACATACGACTCACTTGTGTTATCTATGTATTTGTGATGATATTGCCCTGTACATCATCTTTGCAGAAAGCTGGATATTGTTTTCCGTGTGTGCATGCATGTGTGATAACACATGCATGCAAGATAACATGACAACATTGAGTGGACTGGTTTTTACTACTTTGTGAGATTATTACCTGCAGGTTCTACCAGTCCAAGGTCAACAAACATATGCTCTGAAAGCTTTCTCATGAAATCTCCACAAGATTCATGTGACAAAAGACAGAAAAGTACATCATGTAATATACACATACTTACATACAGATTCAATAACAATTTCTGATCATATGGTAGGAATGCCATCATAATGACATCACTATCGTATGGCTTTATTACAATATAAATTGCCTGAATTGGGTGAGTACAGCAGTAACCTATTGGTCATGTCTCAATCTGCAACTTAAGGCCCTGCATGTGCTGCAATCATGATAACAACTTCTTTGCAATCAGTCAGTAATTGAACATCAGCGTGACTGCACATTAAAAGCATCAGTAGGTGGTCGTGTGTGTGTGTGTGTGTGTTGATGCGTGCTTGGCCGCTATCGGCCCTTGCCCTCGGTGTCAGGATGTGAGGCAAGGAGCAGAGGTGGAGGAGCTCAGCCCTGTCATTGGGGAACGCTTATCGCACTGAACCAGAGGACGTACACAAACACACACAGATGCACAGCCACCGGTACATATACCTACACTTAGATACATGCACTCACGGAAATACACATACAGTGTGGTACTTTTGAACGCTTTTGCACACATATATGGCTGTGAGCTCTTACGCTTGAAAGGAAGCTCACTGGTGCAGAAATAAGTCAATGAGCGGATTATTTGCATGACAGATAATTAACCAGCAGCCGTTTTGATAATGGATAAACATTTGTAACTTATCTACCTACTCATTTCCCAAATGTTTTCTGTGTGTGGAACACATATCTCAAAAACCATTCATCGTATCACACTTGGCATGTGTATTCTTAATCGTATGAGTTTGGACATGGGATACGTTCAATATTAATACCTTTCAACTAGATCTTTGCCACCTGCACAGTAGTGGGAGCGGGGCCTTAACAATCAGTACGTGGACTGAGTTGAACGTGTTTTCTCATACATCTCGGATAAACTACCGCAGTGGTCGAGAACTGGGTCTAATCTTGGGTGAAAAATTACCACCAGATCAATTTGATCATAGGAGTACAAAAGCAACACAGTAACAAAGCAAATTCAGAATAATATTGACTTTAAAATCTCATCACATCAAATAAACAAGATAGGATGAACACAAAGTAACTTCACTCTGCACCATAGATGGTTTATGAAAAGCTCTGCACACAACATCCAGCACACAAAAAAGTGACAGCATAGGAGGACTCAACAATTCTAAAGTAGCTCCAGAGCATTTACACAGCAAAAGAAACCAGGCTCTGACAGATGACACATTCTCTGGACACAGCAGGTTGAGTTTGAATATGCAGTTTGAAGTTGTCGTCATCATCTCGGGTTCAGAGAAATTGTAATCTTTTTTTTTTTTTTTTTTTTTTTTAATATGTTATACCCAGATCAGATTTTTTTTAAACCATTGGAATATTCATCGATGGTTCTGTTGATCATTAGTCGCAGCCCGAACATCACTGCTCCACTCTTCCTATGTTGCAGGGTTATGGAGGAGGGTCTGAGGCCAGTCCTCTGAGGCATCAAAGAGATCTCACACAGCTGATACCACATTAGCCTTCACTCTCCTCCTCCATCTCCTGCCCTTCCACATGGCCCCCAGCTTTTCCTCCCCTCCTGCCATCTAACCTCTGCACTACTTCACTCTCCTCTTCTCAACCACTTCAATATTCTATCCTCTCACCCCACGCCTTGCCTCTTCCTCCTCCTCCTCTTCTTCTTCGTCTTCTTGTCCTCTCCAGCCCATCCTCCTCTTCTCCCACCCCCTGCTCTTCATCTTCCTTGAGTGATAAGACTGACACACAGATATGGCGAGGTTGAGACAAGACGGCGGAGAAGTCGCTTCATCAACCACAGTCTGATAATTCATCAGCAGCTGTTTAGCGTGCCGCTCCTTTGTCTTCATTAGCAGTTGCTGGTTTCGCTTCATTCAAAAGTCATTAGAAAGGTTGTAATCAGAAACAGCAGCGTACATCAGCGTGTACCCTTGTCTTCTTCACAGGTTTTCATTTAGACAGAAAGAAAATTGTCTCTGTCTTTGTTGTTTTGATATCATCTACTTTCTATTGAATATGATTGAAGTTGTAGGAAATTACAGGCTACATTAAAACCTACACTGAGACTTTGAATAAGCCTCATTAAACAGTGAATGAGAGATAGCAATGTTTTATCCAGTGTAGATTTATTGCTCCTTGCAATGAAATGAAAATGGATGTAAAGCCTTTTGAATTCTGCGAGGAATTTAATCTGCAGCTTATCAGATCTGATGGTGGAGTTTGCCAAGGAGAGACGTAGTGACGTTGTGTTATAATCCCGTTTGTTTTTGAACAGATAACTACTGGAACGCTGCATCGTTCACCACGCCCTCGTCCTACCTGCACTTTGCCACCTTCCAGGGTGAGACCAGCGCTGACATCTCTTTCTACTTCAAGACCAGCGCACCTTACGGTGTCTTCCTGGAAAACCTGGGCAACACCGACTTCATTCGCTTGGAACTCAAATGTAAGAGTGATGTTGAGTACATGAGTCATTTCTCTCCCTGTTGGTCTCTCTTATTCTCTCTCTCTCTGTGATGTGTGAGGTTTGAACCAGCAGCAGTCAGTCTGACAGTGCTGGGCGTACTTACTCCCCACACACACACACACACACACACACACACACACACACACACACACACAGGTATCACACAGGCACACTGGCAGATGCAGACACACACATCAGCAAAAGCCATTTGCCTTCCTGATTATGGCACCACTGCAGGAGAGGGCAATCATTTATTTAAGGTGATTGGTGTGTGCAATAATTATGTCCATTATGAACCTCTGTTTAACCAAATCATCCATTTTCAAGGTTGACAAAACACAAGCGCTCTGTCACACACACACACACARACACACACACACACACACACACACACACACACACACACACACAAAGAGTCTGTTTCTTACCCTCTCTTTTCTTCTTCTTACAAAGATATCTTTATAAAAAATGGATTGATGGTGAAATGGGTTCATTATGTTATACAATTAACTTACACACACACACACACACAAAGAGTCTGTTTCTTACCCTCTCTTTTCTTCTTCTTACAAAGATATCTTTATAAAAAATGGATTGATGGTGAAATGGGTTCATTATGTTATACAATTAACTTTTGTTTTTATCATGGACATGAACAAACAAACAATTATGTCTTGTATTTAAGGACTAAAATAGAAACAAATCACCATCAACATTTTGCTCTCATTTTGTTGGCCTTTGCCCAATAAGGTAGATGTGTCTCTATGAAAAACTGAGAAAAGGTCATTTTTTAAAAAGTGGCTCTGATCTCCAAACTTATTAAAATTGCTGCTTGTTTCATGGCTGCTCAGGAGATAGTATCATGAGGTGGAAACCTGTTCATGGACAGTGAATATAAGAAAGAATAATAACCTAAGCTAATTTAGACTGATGGTAAGAGCTCAAATCCGGCTTCAGGCTGATATTTTCTTTCTGGCCAAAAATTGCTTGTTGGATTGTAAAGGTATCCAACCACTGCTCTGGAACATTTTATCAGAGAGGACTCACCACTGCATGGCAGGCTTTGATTGACCTAACACCCAGTGAACTCATAATCACAGAGTGCTGTGTGAGATCGAACAAACAGTCACTGGCTGCAGGGAACCTGTCAGGAGAAGAGAGTTTTCATTTTGGCCTTTTAGTGAGAAACCTGCAGTTTTAATGTAAATAATCAAGAGGATGTCATCTGCAGCTGTGTCTTTGTCATTTCAGGCTGCAAAAGCAACTATGGAGCTGTTTTCACTGGCAGTCTGAATCCAACCCTGGAATATGTACTTATACACACACACACATATATATATATATATATATATATATACTCTTTTCATCATACAATGTCATACAAGAAGGCCTTTATAAACATGTGAGATTGAAATGGAAGAAGTATAAACAGAGAGGAGGATTGCACTCCAGCAGCTGAAATGACTTAGCTGCTTTGATCGAGAGCGTTCAAATCTCAGGCTTCTACTTATTCGCCAAGCTGCATTGTGGGGGTTCCTGGCACACCGCGGCTGCCAATAGTTGACTAATTGCATTTCTCTGTGTTTCAGAGGGATCTAAACATTAGAGTGCCTGACCCAACGTTGTCACCACAAAAAAATCCAACCACTGAGTAGACACAAAGTTGACAGACGAATTCTGTAGCCAAAGTGCTTTTCAAAGCCACTACACTGAATGACATTATGTCAGCTGGTGTGTGACCTAAAAGCTCCACAACTTTTTTTATTTATTTATACTTTCTTGACAATTCTCTTACAGCTGGTTTTGCACAGTCAGAGACAAACATATTCACACACACGCTTCTTCTTGCAGGAAAAAAAAACAATGGGATGACACTCTGCTGTAAAGGCAGGTACAGTGAGTTTTGCCAAAGGCTTGTACTTTGCAGACGGGCATAAAAAAGCACAGGTAAAGATGCAGTAAGTGTCTAGTCTGTCATGGCTGCACAGCGGGCCAAAGGAGATAGGAAGCGTGTGTGTGTTTGTTTGTGTGTGTTTGTGAGTGTGTGTCTCCCGAGGCTTTGAAAACGGCCCCACATCGATTTCCTCTCTCTTCTCCTTTGCTATCATCTTGCATTTTGCCCCACAGTGCACATTTAGACACACAATCACATAACGACTTGCATGCACTCGCTCACATACACACTTCGTACACCAGTGCAAAAAAACTGTATCTGCTACAATCCAGTCAGGGCATGAAATGACTAGCATTAAGCCAGAATAGCATAGCTGTGCAACTGCAGGAGCTCAAAGCACATAAACACACACACACACACACACGCAACTTTGTACAAGACACACACTACTGTGACCTCAGCAGCCTCAAAGTTATCAGGTGGCAGTTGCCCCTCTTTGAATCTTAATGGAAAGAAGTAGGCATAGACACATTTGAGAGGCTGCATTAAAACGCATTGAGAACCATGTGAAGTGGACTGGTAATAGGATTGAGGACAGATAAAGGTCCCTAAATGCACAAGCGCTTGACTTCTGTGGCTCAGTGGAAAGTATGTATGCGCCATGCTTTGAGTCCTTAAGAGGCTGCAGTTGATAGCCTTGCCTAAAGGTTATAAACATTTTCAGTTGGGTATCCAGTCGAGAAGTGTACTTTCCCGCTGGAGACCATAGCTTATAAAACTGTATCATCACATTTTTTTATGTGTTTATATAAAATTTAGCAGCAGTTCCTGCACCTATGGTCTTTAACTCAATTCAATTCAATTTTATTTGTAAATCACAGCATACACCAAACGCAACAGACACCCTGCAACCTAGTGATGGAGGAAGTGCTCAAATATTTGACTTCAATAAAAGTGCAAGTAAATAGAATTTCTTCTTGAGTAAAACTGCTTTTAAATATACTTAGATGATTAAAAGAGACTTGCAGAAGTGCTTTGTGGAGGAGGCAGGGTCTAACGTTACCTGCTCACTCTGATTTGATCAGTGGACCAATTCCTCTTTAGTAATTGTTATTGTGGATCTCTTAAAGATATTTTGGGGCCTCTGTGCCTTAATTGACAGGACAGAAGAAGTGTGAAATGGAGAGAGAGTGGGGGGGCAGCCCAGAACTGAATCTGTGCTCGTTTCAGGAAGACAGCTGCAGAAAGCCTCCGTATGTGGGGCACCTGCTTGTGCACCTGCAGACTGGGCACTCCATGTACTCCAATATACATACATACATATTCCTCTTGATTGTTTTAACATTTCAAAAGTAATCAATAGGTCCACCCACAAGTGCACCTTGGTAAAGTGGGTGGAATAGAAAGTACAGATATTTGCTGATATGCAGAGGAGTAAAAGTGAAGATTACCCAAAAATAAATGTACTTAAGTAAAGTACAGATACATCCCACCACAGTCAACCAGCTGGGTTGAGAGGGGGAGAGAAAGAGGAGAGGGACGGGGTGTCGAAACAGATACACACACATTTATCTTTGAAGGAGAAAAGCAACTTGCCACCATTAATTAGGCTTTTTACTAAGATTCTTTTTTTTTTAATTGTCAGAAGTTAATCTTCATCTCAATCTTTCTGGTCCATTGACACACTGTTGTTGTTGCTGTTTTGCTGATATGCGTTTTAGTCTTAAAAAGTGTCCTTTGATGCTAAAATCTCTTTTAAGCAGGTTGGTTGCAGCACTTGAATAGAGGTTCCCTCCTTCGAGTGTCCAAACTCTGTCAAAGCAAATGAGATTTCAAAACAAAACCATCCCTGATTTTGAAGGTAAAACACGACGAAGAGATAAGACGGCCTTGTGAATGAACGACAAACTGGAACATCCCATTAGACGAACATGTGCGCACTTATGCACACCCACACGAGCAGTGATCTTGCGATCTTTCACACTGACATGCACAAACTCCTTCACTGTGCATCTTTGTGTGGTTGTGCTGTGCAGACGCATAATTCGAAACATGGCTCTTTTTCTGCCTCCATGTTAAAAGATTAATAGAAAAACAAATAAAACAAAGTTTCACTGTGTTTTCTCCAGGCCAAACGCACACACACACACACACACACACACACACACCTCTGCAGTTATGTCAGCCAATCACAGCTATGTAAATACATGAGGTCTGTTCTGGGCTCTGAGGGCATATTGTATTCCTGCCTGTGGACAGAGTAGGAGAGAAAAGTTTTAGGGCGTCCATAGTGTGTCCACACACACACACACACACACACACACTCACTCTCTCTCTCTCTCTCTCTCATAGCATTCAGCATTGCTATAGCACTGTTTCTAGGGCTGTGTTTCTATTTGGCGTATTCTGATATATGTTTGGCTTTCTTTCAGCATTTAAAATAACAGATGGTGCTCCTACTTGCCCCGCAGACCTGCTCCGTGCATAAAGACATCATTAATTCAGTGTACTAAAGCCTGTCAGAGGGCTTACACTGTGTGTCTCTGTGTGCACGCATGAGTGTGCTCTGTGTTGTTTGTGTTGTTTGTTGTGGGTTGCTGGGTGCTCGAGAGCTTTTTCATATTCATCGCGTAGGTTAATGCTCTCAGCGCATCCAGACAGGCTTTTGCTGAGGTGCATCTCTCGTGTCTTTGCATCTCATCTAAGAGGCAAACGGTGATGTCTACAAGAAAGGGATCAAGGAAGAAAGTGAAGAAGGAGTGAATGATGGGAGTGAGTGGAGGGAAGGCGACGGGCGGATTGATGAGTTGGTGAATGAAAGAAAAAGCAGTAAATGAAGTAACAAATGATGCAGAAGTAAAAGTTTGAGGGAAGGAACACACGGGGAAGGGAGGTCGACTCGGGGGACGGCGGGGGTGGATGAAAGGAGGGAAGAAACGAAAGAGTGAGCAAACAGAGGAACAAAGAATGCAAAATGAAAGTAAAATGAAGGGATAAACAAACAGGGTGGGAGGTAAGAGAGAAACAGACGGGCTTCAAGAGGGCAAGTAACAGAAGAAAAGTGGAGTGAAGGAAGTTAATTAGATGAAATGATGGGAGGAAAAGTAGAAAAAAACATTTTGATTGGGAAAAGAAAAGAAGAAAGTGTATTTCCGACTACATACATTTATCCACTTTAATATTTGAGCCTAATGAAACCATAATGAAGTGGTTATTCATCATCCCCGTGACGGCAGCGCACTGGTGCCAATAATCAACATATGGCACCACCCTGAATATATTGGTTTTGTACTGTGGCCTCACAGTAGCAACACACATTCACAAATGAGTCCAATTGGGTTTTAATGTGACAGTTGCAAATCGTCTTCCTGGGAGAGAAAATGGTTTCCTGATTGTTTCCAAGTTCCCTTATTGGTAAAAAAATAAAATAAAATAAAAAGTGGCGTTGTTGCAGTCAAGAGTATACGCCTGGTATCTCATCCAGACAGTGAATATGAAGTCAGGGACACTGATGTGTCGCTCTTATTAGAATTATAAATGCAACAAATGTCTTGTAATTACAATTGTCATGAGTGAGTCCTCCTCAAACAGTTCGATATACTTTCGCTTTTTATTGTTTGTGTGCTGGACGTTGTGTGCAGAGCTTTTTAAAAACAGTCTATGGTGCGGAGTGAAGTTAGAAAACGTTGTGTTCATCCTACCTGGTTTATCTACAATTAATATTTGATGTTTTTGATGAAGTGAAACTGAATTTGCTTTATTGCTGTTCACGTGTGTGGTTTATGTATGTGTGCCTGTTATTTCTCGTGTATTCGTAAAACTGTTTACGTGACTGGTAGTGTCTCAAAATAGAGTTTAAATATACTTGCCTTGTTAAGATAATTTCGCTGAGTGTATCCAGATGATATACAGCCAGAGATAAGAACACACACACACACCCACACACACACACTTTATCTACACTTCATCCTTTTCTGTCATAACATCCACACGCACTCACTTTATAGTTTGATCACTGCTCCCTACAGGGAGGCATCAGACATTGACCTCACCACTGCACTCGCAAAAACATCTGGAATGGACAGGTGGTCCTCTCACACAAACACACACACACACAGTATTTTAGAAATTAACATTTGACATGTCATAGTTATTAAAGGTGTGACAGTGCCCCCTTCTGGTTTGTTGGAACATCAGGCTACTGAACTGCGGAGTAGCAATAAATTCTATGGCTTTATGATAGGCCCATTTCAACATCCTCACAACACGTCTCAAACACACACACACTCAAATCCACTCATTTTAACATCATGAAGATTAATCATGCAGAAAATTAATCATGCACTCTTTCATCTCCTCTTTTTTTCCTCTTTGGCTCTTTTTGTGAGTGAAACCTCTCAAAGTTCAAAAACTGCACAAAACAAACAACAAACACATGGAAAGTGCTGTGATACAACTTTATGTCATGCAAAGCCAACAGTTCCTGGCATGTATCGACTGCCTGTGGGATTAGTCCCATCCAAAGCTGCGAGCAGTCGTGTATGGCAAAGCTGAAATCTATACAAGCCAAATGAATGGCCTTGAAGCAAATGAGCCATTAGATTAAAAATTGAACACATATTTACCTGCAGAGTGGACTGTTATGGAACAGGGAGTTTTTATTTGTGGAACGTTGTTTGTATTGTTTGCACGTGGTTTCATAAATGACTTCAGCGACTAACACACTTTCTCTGCAGCTCCTAGGGTGGTCTCCTTCTCCTTCGATGTTGGAAACGGACCCCAGGAGCTGACGGTGCACTCGGCAACGCCGCTCAACGACGACCAGTGGCATCGCGTGATGGCTGAGCGGAACGTGCAGGAGGCGGTCCTTCAGGTGGATCAGACCTATCGGGCATCCAGGCTCGCTCCCGCGCAGGGGCACACAAGGCTGGAGCTTTTCAGCCAGCTCTACGTGGGTAAGACGCACACACACATGCGCACATCTGATTCCAACTTCTTTTTATGTAGGTGCAACACTCACACAGACAAACATGCCATAATTACAAGCTCTGATGGGTAGCAAGCAAACGCCTAAGTAGACATCGTTCATTGTGATCGTTATTGGATTGAACTTTTAATTAAAAAAGTTTCCATGCTATCTGTATTTTCAGTAATGCCGCTCTCTCTCTCTCTCTCAGATATAGACATCTGCTGTGAGGACGTCTGATTGCTTTATAAGTTAAAGATGTTCCAGCCTTTACTGGAAATCAGCGTTTTTCCTTAAGAGGCTTCAGTCTTAGCTCTCTGCTTAGCCACCACAGCCACTGCTAATTAAGTTCATGTTAATCCAACACACATACAGCCATTCCACACATTTGGAAACAGACGTCCTCAGAAATTCATCAGTGTATGTGAACATACAGTAGTTTTATTAAAGTCGAAACTGAGGGCTGTGAGGGCACTTGAGGAAAACTAACGTGATTCACTTAAAGAGGTCATTTCTTTGAGCTCAGCCTTTATATTACTTTGGATTAAGAAACTATTAAAGAACAAAGAAGATATAAACCCCTTTGCCTCTCTCCCTCTCTCACATACACTTTCTACTTCAGCTATTAGACAGATCAAGTCCCTTATTATCGCACCATTTGTGCCTTTATTTTGCTAAAGAGGTCGTTTTTTTTCCTCACGGAGTGCAAAAGGCACAAGATGTTGCCGTTTTTCTCCCCCACACGCCTTCAGTCCTCTGTTGTTCCACCTTTTATGCTGAGCTGTCAATAAACCAAACTCTGGGGCGAAAATAGTTTTGGGGATTTTTGCGGATTGAAGGAAAAGTGCTGAGGTGGATCGCAAACTTCCCACTTTACCAGAGAAGAAGGAGAAAAAAAGTTCTGCCCAAAGGAGATTGCTCCAAATTCCAATCAGGCATCACGATGTGATAGCTTCAACCCCCCTGATCCCCGTTTATCATGTAATTTCATCGTCTCATCATTTTTGCTGATTCGACCGCTGCTGAAACATCCTCACCTTATCATGTCCCAATTTGCCTCTGTGTGTATTTGTTCTTTGATTTAGTGAAATGGAATGGGGCGAGAGAGGTTTTGTCACCATGCAACTCGCCGCTGCCGAGACGGGAACATAATGGCTTCCCAGATAGTACCTCGGCAGCTTCTCATCATTCTGCTCGTGTGTATTCTCGGCTTTTTTCCTGCAGAAAAGGACGGCAGGGGGAAGGCTCGGGGTTTGTGCGGGCAACACATAAAGTAGTGGAGGTTGTAGAGATAGCAAAGGGGAAGCATTGTGTGTGACAACAGCCATGGCAGCGACAGCACCGGCTCATATCAGATTTCTAATCCCTGGTTAATCCTTATTTGAGCGCCGCTTTGGGAAGTTCCAGTGTGGCACACAGGAAGTGACCCAGCCTCTGAAGGGAAGTGGTTTAGATGTGGCCTCCGACACCAGGAACAGATAGTGATCAGTGTGTAGTTTGATGTAGAGATTTGGAAAGAGAAGGAGGAAGTGAGAGAGCCCCGCAGGCATCAAGGCTTTTGTGCACAGTGGAGAATGACAACAGGAGGCTTTATTTAGCTCACCTCAGCCTCATATCTGTCTCTGTATCATCTCCTTCTCTCTTTCTCAATCAATATGCTCCTCATCAAGCATTTGATTGCTTTAGTGTTTACTGCACAGTGGCTCATTTGCTCTAATGGCCTTGAGAGTAAATGTTACACCATCAGCCGGCTGTCATTTACTTCACACTGTTAACTTTTAGCTCCCCAATCCACTTCATACATGCACATAACTATAAATCGGAGCCACATCTTATTCATTTAAACGTCACCATCTGTTCTTTTGATTTCCTCGCTTGATTAATACTCTCTATCACATTTTTTATGGTTTTGCATGTTTTTTTTTTCTCTCATGGTCGAGATGTTTTTGTCTTTTTTATTTTTTTCTTCTCGTTTGCTCGCCTCTGTCATCTTGGATCGACACCTCTAACCCTCACTGCATGCATGCGGCCCCTTGTCACAGGGAAACCAGCCTCGCTCACCTGCCAAGACAGTAGGTACCATTTAATGAGTTCGATTGTGTTTCTGTGATGTTGATAATTCAGTTTTTTTCAGCGCACACCGAAAAGCACTTGAGAGGACAAGCCCTCACCCATGGATGTTTTGTTGTATCTAATTCAGTCAATTAATGGCGAGAATTAATATCCTGCTCATGCTCTTGCTCAGTTTCTCCAATTAATATTACACATTAACACAAAGGTGTGTAGATGCAGGTTTATTTCAATACACAAGAACAATTTCCATGCAGGGCTTAGGAGCAATCTTATTACGGACCCTCACAAGATATAATTATCAAAAAAAAGCTGTAAACCAACAGCACAGTGCTGGCAAAATGGAATTTCTATGATAATATCTCCCCCCCTGGAAATGCCAGTGGGTCAGGAAGTCTTTTGAAATGACATTTAGAGCATATGAATCAAAACACTCCTCTGAAACTAATACAAATGCCATTCTGAAGTGTATCCTCAATGAACATGAAGTGGGTAAACAAACAGTGTTTTTTTTTTTTTGCAGTGTTTGAACCATAAAAAAAGACAGAAATAGGAAAAACCATGATTCTTATGCAACCGTAATGAAAAAACAGGAGGAACAGCAGAGCAGCAGATGTGAGGCCTATTGTTATGAATGTGGAATTTCTCTGCATGTTTGGATCAAAGACGGCAAATAAAGAGTCACGCCAGTCTCCACTTTCTCCTGTTGGACATAAATGAAACCAAGATATCACGGATATGGTTAGATATGGTTGGATGTATCGCCATCTTGCGCAGTAGTGATTGTGGTGTGGAGCTCAACCAGCCTCTGCTGTCAATCATGACTTTACTGCAGCCATCCACCAGGGGGCGATCCAGATGTTAGGCTTCACTGTCTGGGAGCGGCCATGTCTTCCGTCTTTACATACAGTCTGTGTGTTGAATCAGGCTTTGACCGAAGAGCAGTCCACAGGCCTTCTATACATTCACACACTCCCCTGCATGTTTGTTCATTATCGCATCATTACTCATGAATGTAGGATCCACAGAAACATCCCCCACAGGGTAAAAGGTTAGATTGTTTGACTTAATTAGGAATTTGACTATTGTAAATTGCATGTGTGTGCTTGTGTGCGCTGCATGTATCCTAATGAGTATAAAATGTTTCCTCTGGCAGATCATTAAAGGGTAAAATACCCTTGAGTCACCAGAGCCTAGAAATGTGTGTGTTTGTGTGTGTTTCAGTTTTATCACTGTGTAATTTGATTTTATCACTGTGTGTGTGCGTTTCTGCATCATGTCAGTATTTCTTTGCAGTCTTGAATTAATGGGCTTTTATTAGTGTAAGTGGTTATATTCTAAAATTGACTTATACTGATTACCAATATTTATACTGTATTAAAAATACAAATCAGACAATGAAATTTTTGGGATCAACTGAGTATTTCACAAATATACAGTGTCGTATACAGTATAAAGTGTGCATAAAAGTAAAATGAAAAGTACAGTACAGTAAACTGCTCTGAAAACCAAATGATTCAACACAAAATGAAATATATTCACTACAAATACTAGTACTTACATGAACATAACAAAATAATAATCACAAATCATGCTTATAATTACTTGACAGTATTTTGATTTGCGCCTGCCACCATATTGACATATCCGTGATACGACTGTATATAAAGATGGACGAGTTCAACCCTTTTTACAAAAATCCATCTTTCCCTTTTGACATCAACCCTATTTTGACTTCAGTCAGTATTGGTCAGGCTGTGTGTGTGCGTGTGTGTGTGTGTGGTCTCGGTGGGCCTCGGAGCCTGATGTCCGTTTAATCAGAGACTGATTTAGACCTGGGTAAACAGGTGGCAGAAACCTCCAGCCAATCAGTGGTACAACGCAGATTAATTAACAGGTCGACTAAAAGTCAAATCCTCTGTGGGACTGGAAAGTGGAGAAAGCTCTTGAAAGTGCTGCTGCATCGTGATAATGTGATTCGTGGAGAGAGTGTATGTATTCAGAATCTTTGTGCGTGTGTGTGAGATTGCTGCTGAGGGACGAAACTGTGCGAGTGAGAGTTTATGTTCAGGTCTCCATAACATATCTTCCTGAATGGATACTCCTCTGTAATTCAAAAGATGCAATCGAGAGGTTTTAATAACTAAAACGTCCCTCAGCCCTTGTTAAAGAGAGTGTGTGCGTACCCGTGTGTCTATCCAAACCATGTAACCCTCCTCTGTGTGTTCTTGTGTACGTTGGAATCTATACCTGTGGGTGTATGTTTATGAGGGTGTTTATTTCTATAGTAATTTAGGTGCACATTCATCTACTTAACACCCCTACTCTGTCCAAGTTAATGGGTAGTTAGACTGAAATGGCACAAGGCCAGAATGACGATGGAAGCACTTTGAGGAAGGGCTATCGACACCCCAAGGCGAAGCAGTAATGCTCCTACTGACTCATTCAAATCAGGTGCACTGTGTGTGTTCTGTGTTAAATGTGTGTGTTTGTCTGTGGTTTACATGCGTCCATTCACTTGTGAGATGCTTGTGGGATGTTCATTAAGACAGTCTTCATTAGGGCTGTTCTCATTAGCGAAATTCTTTTTTTTTTAAATGAGTTGAAGGTTGTTTGAAGAGCAGCGTCACAGCCACAATGATTAACGTGACATCAGTGGCTTCCTCCAGGCATCAGGATATTAACGCCTCCAAGAGATTAAAGCGGAGCGTCTTCTCGGAACGACTCTTGTGACCTGTGATTTCCATTCGTCCTCCCCTCGTTCTCTTATTTGTTGTTTTTTTACTTTTTTCACTTAATGCTGCATGTCCTGGTTACACTGATGCTATCTCCTCTTCCCCACCCTCCCCCTTGCTCTTCAGGCGCTGCGGGGGGACAGAGGGGTTTCCTTGGATGCATCCGAGCCCTACGGATGAACGGCATCACACTAGATCTGGAGGAGAGGGCCAAGGTCACACCCGGGGTCAAGCCCGGCTGCCAGGGCCACTGCACCAGTTTTGGAATGTACTGCCGGAATGGAGGGAAGTGCGTGGAAAGGTACAACGGCTACTTGTGCGACTGCACCGCCACCGCCTACAACGGCCCCTTCTGCACCAGAGGTAAGAGGCATTCTGGGTACGATTGTGTCGGCCTCTGATTGAGTGGGTTTGATTGTTGGACGATAAATGCCACTGAATCACACTTTTCTTCATCTTCACAACTTAGTTTGCGAGACAAATTGATCTCCTCCTGTTGTCGGCTTTTTTAATGTCAGATTCTGTTTCCCATTTGCCAGCAGTGCAGGAATAAGGTTCCCTAAGGTATTTTACCTTACGTCTTTTTTCCTTTTTATTCCCTTCTTCATAACAAACTACCTCGCTGCTCAGAATTTTTTGGATGACACATCGAGTCATAATCTCGCAGCTAACACCCTTCAAACAACTTTATGAAAGCACGTTATCTTCAGCTCATAACGCCAGGGTCAAATATCACCCGTGTTACTGCTGCACTCGTTATATTTCAATGAGCGTCATCGACTGACAACCCACTGTGATTTTTTTGGCTGCGCTCTGTGATTGTCCTCACTTCCCATTCAGTTTGGGAGCTGTCTGTGTTGAAAGTGTTTGGGCTTATGATAAAAGGCATCGATTGAGAGTGATATTGTGCTTACCCACCAATTCTCCGCTGGCTTTAGAGTGCCTTTACTGAATGCTAATGCTGTGCAGATGCAGAGCTGAGAGATCAAAGAAAAAAACAAATAAGAATAAAATGCAAGTCACACAAAGAGCTGCAGGTTTTTGAAGTTCAGAAATGATAAATGTCTGACTCTTGCTCCTGCACGACTCCGTAGTGTTAAAGCATCATATTTGTTTCGTGGGGATTCATGAGATGCACTGTTAAAGTTCTGCTTACCAAAACAAGTTTTTGTTAAAATGCTCAGGGGAGAAGAGCAGCGGTGCTGTCAGAGGCTCCCAATCCCCGACACGTGAATTAATTTGTTTCCTAAAGCCCAAAAGTGTTTTTCCCCCTGTGCTCTCTTGGCAGGGGGGGTGACGAGGTGACAGAAAAATGTGTGTGTGTGTGTGTGTGTGTGTGTGTGTGTGTGTGTGTGTGTGTGTGTGTGATATGCTAATTTAAGACATGAAAAGACCTCCTCTGAATTCTGTCATAACCAATCAGGCAGTTCAGGTTTTAGAGAAAAAAGATTAGTGTCCGTGTGTGTGTGTGAGGGAAAGAGAGAGCGACAAACAAAGGGGCAGAGCACAACCTTGTGTCTGTTTGTTTTTGTGCGTAACATCTGACTCATTCGTAACATCTCATCTTGTTTCTTCCCCCTTTCTCTCCTCCTTGTGTGCCTCAGTCTTTTTTTTTTTCTTCTCTCATATCATTTCTGTATCTCTTCTCCACATTTCACTACTTTATCTTCTCTCTGCTGCCTTTTTGAAATCTTCCATTATTTTGTCATTACCACTGTCTCTTCTCCTCTTCTGCCACGTTCCTTCATCTCCCTCATCCATTCCTCCCCTCTATTTCCCCTCATCCATCTCTGAATCTGCTTTTCCTCCAAAATGTTCCACTCTCCTTTACTCCTTCCACTCTTTTCTCCCCCCTTTCCTCCATTTAAACCTTCCCTTTGCTGCCCTTTTTACTCTTTTCCGTATAAATTCTCTTTTTCTACCTCTTTTCCCACTTGCCTGTGTTCAGCTTTCTCTCTACCCTTTTCCCCCTCTAATCTTCCCCCTCTCTCCCCCGTCCTCCCAGTGAGTGAAAAATGCATGAAACCAGCCATAATTGCATAGTGCATTTCCATTGTATCCATATTTACACACTGCTCAGGGGACCCTGCAGTATTATTATTATACACTCTCATTCTTCTGCTTTTCTGCCTTCGAGGGCTACATGGAGCCACTGTGCGTGTACACACACCGCACACGGACACAAAATTCACACGCACTTTCGACCTGTAGAGGTTTGCATGCTTGGCCACATTCCCTACCCAAAACTTCTTCACACACTGACATAAAACACACACAAACATAAAGAGCCTCTGCCCTGGAGCAGAATTTTCTCATTCTCTCTCATGCTTCCAGACAATTTGTGTGTGTGTGTGTGTGTGTGTGTGTGTGTGTGTGTGTGTGTGTG